AAAAAAAAAAAAAAAAAAAAAAAAAAAAGCTCCCCCATTGCAATCCTACTTACCAAAATCGGTGCCCTTACTTCAAAAAGATTTTTTAAAATATCGACATTAAACATATTACATGCCCATCCTCTGGCCATGTAAATTATTTTTTGCAGATTACAGAGTTTATACCTAGCCATTCTGGCTCTTTAAACAGTACCTGGGGCATAATAGGAGCTCAATAAGAATTCATTTCTCCTTCAGGTCTTTGCGGAAGAGCTGCCTTCTCAGGAAAGCTTCCTGAACCACATAATTTAAAATCATATGTCCAACCAAAACCCTGGCACTCCTGTGCTCCTTCCCAACTTATTTTTCTCCATAGCACTTACCATCTTCCAACCCAACTTGTAATTTACTTATTTCTTATGTTCATCTGTACTAGTGTGAAAGCAAGGACCATTCTATCTGTGCTGTTCACTGATGGAACTGTTGAAAGAATGAACGAAACCCCAGGGTCCCTTTTTTCTCACTGAGGCGCAAGAGAGTCTGTTTATGACACAAAGTCTACACAAATCATTATAGTCTATTAGGACAACATGGCTGAAGATTCAGTAAAAATAATACCTCCGTTATCAGTTTAGGTTTGCCAAGAAAATGGTTAAATTTAACATTGAAAAAGATAAAATGTTTTTATATTCTTCGACAGTCAACTCTACGTAGAACTGCTAACATTTAGGGAGAAGTTGATTTCAAGCTACTTGTTGTCGTCAGCATTTCTGTAAATTCCTACCATAAAATCTTGTCTTAGAAAAATGATGTGTTGAAAGGGAAGAAGCAAATATAATGATGGAATGTAAATGTATGTTACGCGTGCATACGTATAAATGTATATTATGTTCTTGACTACTATGGACGATGACATAATGCTTAAAAGGTGGTAAAATGAAGCTATTAAATATGGAATATACTCCTTTTTAATCAACAGAAAGAAGAACTGTATTCCAATTATATAGTATAGGATAGGTACTCGTTATTTCACAAGCATAAAATATGATGCAAATCTCAGGTAATAAAAACACAAAAGTGACTTCCAGAATCTTCTATCCTATTACAACAGAGGCAGGTTCCCAGAGATGGAAGGCACGTATCTGCTCTCTAGAAAGTATTCAACAGTGTTTACCGGAGCCTGTTGCCAGCGCCAAGAGGCAGGACAGCCTCCAGCAAAGGACGTCTGAACCGGCAGTGGATGGATTTGACGTTTACGATGAGTGCAGAACGGCTGGCAGGAGGCTGAGTGGGAGGGGGCAGGGGTGCCACATGCCCCACAAGTCAAGGCAGAACTTTCCTGCTCAAAATGCCGAGAGCGCTCCCTGAGTGACCCTGTGCTACAGACTTACCAGGGACCAGACACTGGATGGATTTCAGCATCTTTCTTGGTACACTGAGCACTAAAACGAGCTTAGCACAGCGCGTGACACACAGGAGACACCGAGAGTCATTTTCTCCCCTTTTCCATGTGACGCAAAACAGAACTTTAGTCTTTAAACACACAATCGATGCCAACCTTCACTTTCTATTAGCATCATCAGGCTCCAAAAGAAACTGAACGAACCCTGAAAGCAACACAGGACTCCCAGCCTCAGCGCTTGTATATCACGCTTATCACTGCTTTAACTTTTCTCACACTGGGAGGCACTGATGGAGAACCTTCATCAGACTTGGGAAGAACAAATTTCAGCTGTTTCCATATCTAATTTGAATGAAGGGCACATATGAGAAGATGTCTCAAAGCTGTACACGGCAGAAACACCAACAACAAAGTCCCAAAGCAGCTCCCTCTGCCCTGCAAGGTTCCCACACCCTCAACACAAGCGCAAAGCACGGCCAGTGACGGCCACCAGCCTTTGAACAGCTTGAACCACTAATTACGTAAGTTTCAAGTCAGAGCTCTAAACACTTCTTCTGAAGCACGACATCAACCATGTGCGGTGTTTAAAAACCAAAAAAAAAAAAAAAAAAAAAAAGCACACATTTCATTTCTTGTGGCGTTTGGCTTCTACAATCAGGGGTATCGCCACCTTGTTAACACAGGAGCAAAATGGGACCCCCGTGAAATTTCAGAGATCCACCCGCTGGGAATGTCAACTCTGAGGTTGTGAAGTGGTCTAATTTTAGGTCAAATCCAACTTCACAGGGAAGGAAAAATGTTATGGTCCACTTCTCATAGCACAAACAACGGCATGTGCACTGCAAAATCAAAGCATAGGTTAATGCCAAGAAAGTCATCCGTCAGTAACCAAAGCAGCAGCATCATGCTCAGATCTCTTATCCTAATGTCACCAGGGCTGCTGGCCTTGCTTGGCCGAGCCTTCTGGGCTCACAGACTCCCTGGGACCTTCAGTAACTCAATCCCTCTTGCCTGGAAGGAGAACAAACAATTCGATGCCAACTTCAAGGTGGCCTTGGTTTGACATTTCTCCTCAGCCTGGTGGAATTCCAGAGCCCCTTCTAAGTCTCCCGTCTGGGTCGGGGATGAGTCCTTGGCTAACTCAGGCTCAAACACCTTAGAACCAAAACTAACTAACTAGCTAACTAACTAAAACTAACACTTCTCTGTCTCTCTCGCTGTCTCTCACACACACACCCCCACACACAGAGCTTACTATCTCCATTAACACAGATTTACTATTCAACTACTCTCATTAGCATTACTTTAAAATTCCAGACTCCCCACCCCAGAAATGGCTTTGACGGCTCCTTACAGAAGCTTCCTGAAATATCCATCAGCTCTTTAATGGAAGCCATCAACATGACAGTGTGCACCCTAAAATTTGTAAAATGCCTTGTCTCAAAGTCCTTGCCTTGTCTCCACCAATCCTGAGCCATTGTCTCTTGATTCCAATCAAGTCCCTGTATTGTCAACCAAAGTTCTAATTCTCATATCCAGACGCTGCCCTCCTGGCTGGGAGACACTGCCCCATGGAGGTGGCATTTCCCCCACAGCGTGAACAATAAAGTCCCTTGGCCTTGTCATCAGAGGGTGGTGGTGACATCTGGAGAGGCAACATCCCAAACTCTACAGGCTTTCTCCATGTTTCTGAGTGTTGGGAACCCAGTTAAGGCCTGGCCTCACCTGAACAATTTCTCCCTCTTGCTGAGTCGCTTCCCTGACTCTCAGCCTGCCTCCTGCACTCCCTGGGCTTTGTCTGTTGTTCCAGCTCTTGGCATAACCGGAATGTTAACAAGCCAAGAGTTTCCTTGAAGCAGGGTCCCGGGTCCCTTTGCACCGCTCTCCGTGGTCCCAAGCACAACCCCAGGGAGGCCAATCCTAAACATCTCCTGGACTCCCAAATCTCTCTCCAGGCTCATCAGGTGAGCAGACAAAGAAAACCCCATCGAGTGGGCAGATCTTCAAATCCATACTACTTGATAGGAGTAAGAGAGTGGCAGTGACAATAAGGAACAAAGATGAGCGGGAGGAAACAGGGTCCCTCTCCAGGGGTGAGGCTGCCAACCTCAGCTACACAGATGAGGTTACAGACAAAGAGGAAGAACAAGGTGACAAAACACAGGAAGAGAATAGAGAAACCAACGTAAGGAACATATTACTCTATACTATAAACCAAGGGAAACCAAAATTCCACCTTTTAAAGTATCCAACATCAAAACAACCTACTGTCTTGTAGGCAGAGGAGTGAATTAT